TTCCAGTCCAGCTTCCTGCTAATACACCTGAGAAATCAGCAGGAGATAGCCAAGTACTTGGAGTCCTGGATGCATGTGAGAGATCCAGCCATTTGGGAAGTGAACCAGCAGATGGAAGATTCTCTCTCTCTCTTTTTCTCTCTATTGCATATCTCCTTCTATCTCTATCTCTTCCCCTCTCTCTTTGTAATTCTCCCTTTCAGACAAATAAATCTTACTTAAAATATCAGTATATTTTTAAAAATACATCAGAGTTCACACATCTGTTTTTTTATTTTATTAATTTTATTTATTTGAAAGAGTTACAGAAAGAGGTAGAGAGAGAGAGAGAGAGAGAGAGAGAGGTCTTCCATCCACTGGCTCACTCCCCAGATGACCAAAATGGCCGGAGCTGAGCTTATCTGAAGCCAGGAGCCAGGAGCTTCTTCAGGTTTCTCTCGTGAATGCAGGGGCCCTAGGACTTGGGCCATCTTCTACTGCCTTTCCAGGCCATCAGCAGGTAGCTGGATCGGAAGTGGGACTTGAATCGGTGCGCAAACAGGATGCCCACACTACAGGCTGGGGCTTTAATCGTCTGTGCCACAGTGCCGGACCCTCACATCTCTTAAAATCTTTTCATTTCATGAGAATCCATACTGACCTGAGCTAATCATGCATAATTAATATCTACTCATCTACCTATCCCTTATCTATCTATCTATCTATCTATCTAAGTATCTATCTACCATCTATTGAATTTCTTTCTCTGGAGAATGCTGATTCATTACAAAATATATGTTCTGTAGGATTAACTTTCCAGTGGTTTGGAAAGTGTCCTTCTGAAACCAACATCTTTATCATCACCTGTGAACTTGATAGAAATGATCATTTTTGGCCCCGACTCAGACCTACTTGATAAGCAATCTACTTTAACAAGTCCTATAGGTGATTCTGATGCACTCTTAAGTTTGAAACTATTTAAAATAAGGTAAATATAGTTCTAAGAGAAAAAAATCATGTATAAGACACAATTTCACACTAGTAATATATGAAACAGAGATTAAAACAAAATTCCCAAGTACATGCTTAGAATTTGAGTTTCAACATATTTCAAACTGAATGATGTGTACTATATCTTTCAGCTGAAAAAAAAATCACTCACAAGATGACAAATGTAAATTTTGATAAGTAGAATTGGTAATATAATTTTGAATATTTTGAAATTTATTAAATATTTCATAAAATGAATATCCAAAAGATTATTAATCTTACAAATATAAAATAATTATAATACAATCTTATAAATAAGGATATTTTTTAATTAATTAAATTTTTTTGACAGGCAGAGTGGACAGTGAGAGAGAGAGAGAGAGAGACAGAAAGAAAGGTCTTCCTTTTCAGTTGGTTCACCCCATAATGGCTGCTGAGGCCGGCGCACCGCGCTGATCTAAAGCCAGGAGCCAGGTGCTTCTCCTGGTCTCCTATATGGGTGCAGGGCCCAAGGACTTGGGCCATGCTCCACTGCATTCCCGGGCCATAGCAGAGAGCTGGACTGGAAGAGGAGCAACAGGGACAGAATCCGGCGCCCTGACCGGGACAAGAACCCAGTGTGCCGGTGCCACAGGCAGAGGATTAGCCTATTGAGCCGCGGCGCCAGCAAAAATATCTTTTAAGTATTACTAATCCAGGAAAAAAGATACACCTCTGTAATTCAGTACATACAACAATATTTTTTCAAAGCTGTTCTCCCAAGCTAATTCCCCATCAAATAAAGCAATAGTAGAATTGTACAAAGACGTACCAGTGCCCACTATCACATAGTGTATTTTTCAAAATAACAAAATTAATTGAACTAAATATTTAAATAATTTTAATAGTTTGCGTTGATCAAACTGGACATACTCAGCAAGGGCATTTAAACTAGTGGTTAAGATGCCAATGAAGATGTCTGTGTTTTGTATTGGAGTGCCCAGGTCGAATACCCCGCTATGGGTCTGAACTCTAGCTTCTTGCTACTGCACACCCTTGGAGGTAGTGATGATGACTCAAAGGAACTGGCATCCTCTCACCCAAAAGATAAATCTGGTTGGAGCTCTTGACTCCCAGCTTTGGCGCTGGCACAATCTCCGCTGTTCTGTACATTCAGAGACTGAGCCAGCAGAAGGGAGTCTCTCTCTCTTTCTCTCTCTCTCTCCTCCTCTCAAGTGAGTAAGTGGATGAAAACAGCTGGACCTATCTGGCATAGTGATTAAGAAGTCACTTGGGAGCCTTCATTCCATATCAGAATGCCTGGGTTTGAGTCTTGGCTCCCATCTCCAACTTCCTGATAATGAAGCAACCTGGAAATCAGCAGGTGATACCCCAGGTAGTTGGGTGCCACCCCAAATGGGACAACAAGAGTAAATTCCAGTGTAGATATTTGAGGAGTAAACCAGTGGTTGGAGAAATCTGTCTTTTTCTTTCTGCCTTTCAAATAAAATAAAGGGATAAAGAATTTTTACTAGGCTACTTCTAGAGAAGCAAAATGATTATTATTATGAAAAAAACTTTAAGGTTGCCCTAATGTGGAAATCGGTTTAATTTTATTTAATCCTAGATTTCTCAAATTAATTGATTACAGATACCTTTCTCCAAGGAAGCTGCAGCTATTTGTATGTCTCCTTTGTAGAATCTACCGATCTATATAAAGGATTTTCAATAAACAGCAAAAATTGGCCACTAGAGAGAATCTTTGCTTAAAAGAATCCAGCAGCATGATTTCGTCGTGAGATAGTACTGCCCAGTGGTTAATAACTTGAATTACTCTCTCAGCTCACACCCTTAACAGCTGTGTAAGCTTGTATATAATTTTATTTATCATATCTGTGCTTCTGTGAGTTCAGCTTTCAAATGAAGATGATATTAATGTCTAACTCAGGGAGTTATGGGTTTTAAAAGAGTGTCTGACACAGAGTAACATAGTCATTAAATATAATAGGAATGTATGCATTTGAACTATTATCATTTTGACTTGACTAAATATAGTTGCTGATCTCTAAGTTCTCATATCATAGGAAAATTTTTGCAAGTTAGTAGTATTAATACATTTTAAACATTTTATTAAATATGTCTAATAGTTAACCAAAAGAGGAATAGGGTAAAATATGAAAAATGCCTTTGGTTTATTTAAATAAATACATAGCATCTCCAATACACATAATTTTCTGCTAGTGCAGAATATTGTATTAATATTCAGAAAATATAATTAAAATTTTACAAAAGTTACTAATTTGAAATATTAGTGACATGATCATAAGTCTTAAATATTAGTCATGAATAAGCTATAATTTGCTTACTATAACATGAAAAACTGAAATGAACAGTATTTGCAATATTACTAGTTAAAATAATTTTTCTTTTGGTTGTATGAATTTATATAACTCCAAAAAGTGCAAATTAAAGTTAATACTTAAAGTATGAGAAATGCAAACACTGTGCTGAAATCCATGAGCTTCCTGCTACTTATGCTTACAGGAGTCCCTGAAATAAACAAATGATCAAGTTATTTTTCTCTTTCAAAAATAGGAATTAAATTTCCTCAGCTTCTTGGCTACATGTGGATATGTTCTTACTTTATTTCTTTAAATGAAGAATATTCCCTCTGCACTTATTCCTGAGCTTTAAACTATGCCAAAAGAAAGACAATTTCTCAGGGTAAATACAATATGTACATCCATTTTTAACATGGATGAATTTTGGTTTACCTGTAACCACATATTTTTAAATTTAAAATTAATTCATGATATTTCACTGGTATCCATTTCTATGAGTCTCAAGAGTTTAGAAGTTTTTTTGTATTTGAATTCTTTTTTCTTATAATGACAACATATTATTTTGTTAAAAAGTGTCTTGAAACACTTTTATAATTAAAATTTACTTAGGAACATATTCAAATAACATCTCATCTCTTAAGACTTTACTGAAAATCTCACATTTTAAGATTTTACTGATCTTCAAAAAATATAATTGATTTGAATTTTGAAATCACATATTAGTGTATGTTACTTCTTTAATGACAAATCATATATTCTGATAAAAGTATATCAAATATTGTGCAGGCCTGCGGCATGATGAACTGGGTTTTCCTGAAACAGAGAGTGGGAATGCGGGGACAAGGACGCAAAGAATGGAGCCAAGACAAGTCCTGATCAAGGCTCATTTATTGAATAAATCCAGTAGTATTTAAACATGACTAGTTGTTTACAAGAAGGAGCACAAAAGATTTACATATCAAAAAGGCTCTTAAGGTTACAAAGAGTTCCCAATAAGGTTCTTAATTATTGATTACAAGGGTACAATAAAACACTTAGGTGATAAATGCAGGTTACAGGTGTGACTGATTATCTGTATCATCTCTTGTGAAAGGTTTAGGTTCTTCCTGCCTCTTCCCGGAATCTCCCTAGCCCAATTGTCTGTGCCCGGGAAGTCTCCATTCATATGTTTAAGTGTAAACAAAGGGAGTGACTACCTGTGGCTGCCCACAAAATATATTCAAATAACTTCAGTTTCTTGAAAGAAATTTTACTTTCTTGAACTTGAATAACAATTTATACTGTATCAAATGCAACTGACATTCTGTGAATAGTTAGTGAATTACTTGGAAAAAATTATTGACAGATCACCTCAACAGCTGCCACAGAACAATTAACAGAGAAAAATTCTCGGGAGTTTCTATTGGTTCAAATTAAAGCCTTCAAAGCCATCATTTATGCTGGAAGATTCACAACCTGGACTAAATATCGTCATGGTTAGGGTATGTGCAAAACAAGAACATGCACCCTGTTACCACACGGGTGCAAGGACCCAAGGACTTGGCCCATCTTCTACTGCTATCCCAGGCCACAGCAGAGAGCTGGATTGGAAGAGGAGCAGCCAGGACTAGAACCAACGCCCACATGGGATGCTGGCACTTCAGGCCAGGGCTTTAACAGGGTAACAGGGTGACTGGAGGGTCTAAGGGAACACTGTGCTCTCTTTTGCAGTAGCCTGTGGAGCAGACACGTGTTGGACCTGACCTTTCCAATATGGTCTCAGCTGAGCAATGGCAAAGCTGAACACTTCCTTCTAGTAAGCTTCAGACACCTTAAGGTAAAATCTGATGTAGTTACTTTATAGTTAAATCACATAGCACGATACAATTGGAATGTGAATTAGAAGACCTGGGGTTAGAGATGGCTCTATTAACTCTGCAAGTCACTTGACCTCCTCTATCCTCAGCCTCTTTATGCATAATGTATTGGAGCCTGATGAACTGATTTAGGCTCCTTCCAGCTTTAAACTTCTATGCTTTTTTCTCTTCCTGGTTTTAAGATTTATGGTGTTAAGTCATGGGCGAGAGAAATATTTTTGAGTAGTCACATCGCCAAAGGAATATGTGTATGCATAATATTAATTTCCTATACCAATTATTATCCTTTCCATTTAAAAACATTTTATTTCAGCAATTTATAGTATAAGCAAGATGTGATCAAGAAGGGTTAGTGTTTCTGTACTTGTAAAGTATCATGTCATGAATTTTATATATGTTTTGGCTGGTAAATCTTGAAGTCTCTCCTGAGGTTGTTTTGGAAGCTCCTTGTCAAAGCCATGAATCACAGGTTGGTTCCATTGTAAGCGATGTGTAGCCTTTCCTGCATTTTGGTTTGGGATAATGAGATATGAAAGGAAATGATTCTCCTATTCTTTGCAAAGATGTTGTAACATGGGATGATACTGTGAAAAGAGAATAAAATTAAAGGGAGAGTTGAATACTATTATTGTTACTTTCCTTCAAATTAAGTATATATTCTGAGTAAAAAATTTCAAGCATGTACTCTATATGCAAAATAGAGATATTGAATTATATACAATAAAGCATTTTCTTAAGTACAGTGATATTTTGTGATCATCATAGTATTAATAATAATACTCTATTGGTTTGTATATTTAATAAGATCATGTAGCCTTGGACTACATAGTAAAGAACAACTCTGTTAAATTACTGTGTCACAGGGCCGGCGATGTGGTTCATCAAGTCAAAGCCCTGGCCTGAAGTGCCAGCATCCCGTGTGGTTGTCCATTCCAGTCCTGGCTGCTCCTCTTCCAATCCAGCTCTCTGCTGTGGCCTGGAGTAGCAGTAGAAGATGGGCCAAGTCCTTGGGTCCTTGCACCCGCATGGAAGACCCAGAAGAAGCTCCTGGCTCCTGGCTTTGGATCGGCAGCTCCAGCCATTGAAGCCAACTGTGGAGTGAACCAGCAGATGGAAGACCTCTTTCTCTGTCTCTACCTCTCTCTAACTCTGTCTTTCAAATAAATAAAAAAAATCTAAAAGAAATTACTGTGTCACTTATGCCCACAAATAGCATCATATTTTTCTGTTACATTGAGTAAAACTGCTTTTTGTCATTTCCATTTGTACAAAGGGAAAATTAATAAATGTATATTCTTGTTTAAAGCTGTGAGATAAGTAAACAATTTTGATCACATTTATATAAAGTTGAGGCATTCTGATGTCATATATAAATATCCAGAAAAATTGAAACTGTATAATGAAGAGTTAAACTTTTCCCATATTTGACATCTTTTAAATTAACTGCAAGCAAGTAAAAGAGAAAAGAAATAAGGAGTACCTAAGTTATTCATTCAAATCCTATTATTTCTATTGATTTAGTAATTGGTAAACCTCATGTTCTACTCTGTGAAGTAATAATGCTCCTGGCCATGAGCTCTTTTATTTCAGGACTGTAATTTGAAATATTTCATTCACCTCTGAAAGTTGCAATATAATCCACATGCCGATCTCCCAGAAGGAATCTCTTAATGCAGATGTGCTAAGCAAGTGAAAACAGAATGTTAAAGATCAGGGAACCTCTTTTCTTGGAAACGTACACTTCACCTAAGATGTGACACATAACTTCAGTTTTGCTGGAGGCTCTTGGAGGTGTAGCTGCTGGTTGGCAACACCATTAGATAGTTCAAGTTGGGAATGGAAGGTTAACAAAAGATAGACAAAAGATAATCCACGTTTCTAGTTTTCAAGGGATTCACAGGTGGTAGCAGAGTGTGAGTTGTCAGTATTAAATCTAATACATTCCTCAGGTAGAGCAAGGGTTGGGTTACTACCCTGGAGAAATGGCAATCTGGTTTTCCACATTTGGAGTTAGAAACAGGCGCACTGGAAGATTTTCTATTTTAAGAGAACTTGAACTGAAATCAAGATCTGGAATAATTTTATGGCTCCAGTTTTTTATAAATGGATTAACATTTCCAATATGAAAAGCTTGAATGAAAATACTATAATGAGTCTGCTTCCTCCCAGTTATTTTCCAAGTCATAAACTAACACAGAGACTGACATGTAATTTAGCAACTGTGCTTCATCAAACCAAACTTCTTTTTCCTAACTCAATTTTTGCTCAAGCTAACAGTGTCATCATAGAAAGAGTCTCTAATTTAAATGCTACTAATCACTGTAGATTTAATTTGAATCTAAAGTAAACTATCAGCCCAGTGTGCAAAGTTTTGAAGATTCAGTGAACTTGAAAAGTTGTAGTTTCAGTTCAGTTCTTCAAGTTATCCTTTGCTGGAAAATTGGGCACACGAGGCAATTCAAAGATGGCGCCCAAAGGAAGTAAGGTGGGCGGTACCCAAAGTTGTTTACCACCAAAGCTGTTTGGCCCTGCAGCATCAGGGGAGGTGACAACAACTGATGACGAGTGTATAAACATATGGCTGGTTCTGTAAAAAATCGCCCCATAAAATGACCTTTTAAGTAATTGGCTGGTCCTTATGTTCTGCCCCAGTGACTATGCAGTTTTGTGCTTTCAAAGGTTTTGCTATGCTCGCAATAAACGAGTTCTTTCTTGCTTGACTTGACTCCCTGCTGCGTCTGATTGTCTCCAGGATCGGGAGGCTGGGGAACAGGCGAGCGACACACTTATCTTTCTTCAGACCCAGTCCATCTTCATTAGGGTGGACTAAGACCCTGCAGTCCTTCATATGCATCCTCTCAGGCACTTGTGCTTTCTACAGAATAACATAGTGCTCACTGCAGACTTTCTACATCATATTATTGAGCAAGACGTAAATAGAAATGCTATAGTTCTTAACAAAGTCTTAATATGTTCTCAGCACTTCCCAGCATTTGAGATCTTTAGTTAGCATGAGAAACTTGTGCTACATGTCCTTTTCTGCTTACTAATTCTTTCTTAAAGAACTGCAACCTAGGCAAATGAGAACAGCCTAACCAAAGACTTTTAAATTACACACACACACACGCACACCTCTAGATGTCTTCTTTATAATAAATCCATTCAGTGTGAATGTTCTATGACTTTTTCCACTCTGCTTAGACATGAATTGAATATTTTATATTTGGCATACTTTGATTTTCTATTAAAGGATATGCATTTTAGAGATAATTTATTAACAACTATGAAAATACAATAATTTGAAAGGAAGAATGTGCTTATTTTGTTACACATATTTCTAATTTCTCACACAAAATGTATTGTAGTAGAACATATAAACAATGGCAAGCCACAAATAAATATCCATAAGGTGGAATGATCTACGTTACTGTAATTCTTACATCCTTACATCGTATCAGTGTTGAGAAAAGGAAGTCTGCATTCCTCCCCCACATTGATGGTGATATCAGACCAAACCTATTATAACTTTTGTTAGAAAATTTCTGGCCCATCGCTCTGAATTTACATTTGGTGATCAGAATGCATGAAAAGTCCTTAGAGTTAGCATATGCTCTTTGAAGAGCTAGATTTTATCAAAATAAATTGAATGTATATGATATTTGGGTAAGCAGAAATGCCTTGATAGCACTAAATAGCCTCAGTAGAGTTACTCCATATGAAGTCATCAAAAAAGATATAGACAAGTACATTTCAAATGTATAATCAATGGCATTGCCCAGATTACCTCTCTAATTATGCCAGCTTTTCACTGCCCTTTCAACTTCTCATAATTTGACCAATTTTCTTTTGGACTACATCCTAAGAAGGTCAGGTCATCTACTACTAGAAACCCCCAAAAGCGTTTTGACCCTCACACATGAATGTGATTAGGCCTCTCATTCAAATCTCTTGTTGAAATTATATTACAATTAAGTATAAATTAAGGCCAGTGCTGCGGCTCAGTAGGCTAATCCTCCGCCTAGCGGCGCCGGCACACAGGGTTCTAGTCCTGGTCGGGGCGCCGGATTCTTTCCCGGTTGCCCTTCTTCCAGGCCAGCTCTCTGCTGTGGCCAGGGAGTGCAGTGGAGGATGGCCCAAGTCCTTGGGCCCTGCACCCCATGGGAGACCAGGATAAGTACCTGGCTCCTGCCTTCAGATCAGCATGGTGCGCCGGCTGCAGCGTGCCAGCCGTGGTGGCCATTGGAGGGTGAACCAATGGCAAAAAGGAAGACCTTTCTCTCTCTTTCTCTCTCTCTCTCTCACTATCCACTCTACCTGTCAAAAAAAAAAAAAAGTATAAATTAAAAGAAGAAGAAAAATGCTTCCAGCAGAAAATCAGTAAAGAAAGAAAGAAACCAATGCTGGTGAAACTTAAGGAGCAAAGGACCTTTAATGCAATTAGAACTTTAAGTTGGAAAAGATAAATAATCTAGTACTTCTATTTTTTCTTCTATTTTCCTCTTGCAGTCTTAAACTACTTCAAACAAAATAACTTGCTTTAAACATCCAATTTTTACCAAACTGAAGAGACTCTTTGAAATTCTAGTGAAGCACAAAGGTATTATGAATTTGTGTGGAGATAAATGTTTTAGGGACTGTTAGATGGTTTTGATAAATTACAGCATCACTTGTTGAAATTGCAAAACATACTGATTGAATTTAGTTTCTTAAACTTTGTGAGGCTGATCTCCTATTGTAATAATAATAATTCATCTTGTTTAAACTAATCATTTTAAAAATATTTTAGCAAACGATCATTATATGAGAAAAAAATCACTTGATTGTAGATGATCAGTTTAAACTAATTTGGTAAATGCTAGGTTAAGAAAGCAGTTTTTTTCTGCATTAATATCTTACAAAAGGGTTAAAGAAGAGGGATATTGAAAGATTAAATAGTTCAACAAATTGCCTTTAACTGAAAAAAGGAAATATTTCCCGGTAACTTCAAGTATTTTGTGCTTAACAAGGAATATGTCCAGTCTTTAGATTTTCATGCTATACTTATTTGTAAAGAATTTAAAGACCATTCACATTTAGAAAATAGTAATTATGAAGGCTGTCAAAGAAGGAGGTACCTTTCTCTGAAGGGAGGAGAGAACTTCCACTGTGATTATGGCCTTGTCTAAATAAGGTTGAAGTTTGTGAACTCAAGAGGCTTCCATAGCCTTGGCAGCTCATGACAAGAGCCTCGAGTGATTACTGACGTCATAAATAAGAGTGTCAATTGTTACATCAACAACAGGAATCACTGTGCACTTGCTCCCCATGTAGGAACTCTGTCCTTAATGTGTTGTACTATGAGAATTAATGGTAAAATTAGCTTCAAATAGTACTTTGTACTTTGTGTGTCTGTGTGGGTGCAATATGTTGAAATCTTTACTTAGTATATACTAAGTTGATCTATGTATAAAGATAATTAAAAATGAATCTTAATGAAAAATGGGATGGGAAAGGGAGTAGGAGATGCGATGTTTTGCAGGTGGGAGGATGGTTATAGGGGGAAAAACCACAATAATCCAAAAGTTGTACTTCTGAAATTTATACTTATTAAATAAAAGTTTTCTTAAAAAAAAAAAAACAAAGAAAAAAGAAAATACTAGTTATAAACTTTTCTTTAAAATTTAACTAAGTTTTTGGGCTTATGTTTTGGCCCAGCATTTTAAACCCTCTCAGCTGATCCACTTCCAATCCAGCTCCCTGCTAATGTGCCTGGGGAAGCAGCAGCAGATGGCCCAAGTGCTTAGGCCTCTGCCGCTCCTGAGGGAAACTCAGATGGAGTTCCTGACTCCTGGCTTCCACCTGGCAAAGCCCTGCTTGTGGTGGCCATTCAGGAAGTGAATCCACAGATGAAAGCTTGCTTTCTTTTTCACTCACCCTGTCTCTGTCACTATACCTTTCAAATAAATTAAATGATAAAAATTTTTAGCCAAATTTTACTTCAACATGTTTAATAAATGCACTATTTATGTTTTGAAAAATTATCTGTTTTCATGTTTAATGCAGAATATAATTAATTTGAAAATGGCAGTTCAACATAAACCAACTTGAAGAAAAAATGAGAAATCTAAAATCCATAAGTGCATGTTAAGGGGAATAAAGGAGGCACAGGCTGAGTTTGCCTAAAGGAGCTCACCATATCATAAGTCTGATAGGAAAATAGTCATTATGAAATAATGTTAGAATTGTTAGGGTCCCTAAAGCGAGAAAAAGAGGGATGGCTGTTCCAGGCATTTCAAGGAGGAAGGCAGGAGGGTTCTCCAAGTAAGGCTGTGATGCAGACAGCAAGGGCCATTCCAACAGAAGATCATTTAGAATAAGCACTCCAACTTTCATTAATATTGCTCATTGAACAGAAGGCCATCACAAGCGAAATTCAAAACATTGCTGTTAAGATGAATTAATGATTGGGAGTCATGGACAATGGATGATTTTCCTCAAAAATCATTTTCTGAAGAAGTATTTAAACTTCCAGATAAAAACCTAGTTCACAAATTGTATCAATGAAGTGATTAAAGTAACTGCAGCAAGAGGACAGAAAATAACTCCCCGGCAATGACCTTGCTTCCTCAGGATAAGTTTCATAACTGTCTAGCAATGAATCATTTTCTATCTTTAGGCATGCCTGTTGTCCTGAAATGATCTTCCTACAAGGATAAGTCAGCTAGTGAAACAAAAACAACCTTGTCTATAGTTGTATTGGTTTATCCTTTGTAGTAACAGGTAAAAAATGATGCTTCCGAATGATGAGAATCCTGAGTACTCAATGTTTTGTTTCCTGGATTCCTGTAGAACTAGTACCTTTAAGAATAGCCAAAGCAGACCGGCACCGCGGCTCACTAGGCTAATCCTCCGCCTGCGGCGCCAGCACACCGGGTTCTAGTCCCAGTCGGGGCGCTGGATTCTGTCCCGGTTGCCCCTCTTCCAGGCCAGCTCTCTGCTATGGCCCGGGAGTGCAGTGGAGGATGGCCCAAGTGCTTGGGCCCTGCACCCACATGGGAGACCAGGAAAAGCACCTGGCTCCTGGCTTCGGATCAGTGCGGTGCGCCGGCCACAGCGGCCATTGGAGGGTGAACCAACGGTAAAGGAAGACCTTTCTCTCTGTGTGTCTCTCTCTCTGTCCACTCTGCCTGTCAAAAAAAAAAAAAAAATTAAGAATGGCCAAAGTAGCTTTATTTGCCTTACTGAACTGAGACTCAGCTTGGTGGTTCCTTAAGTGCTGGTAACTGTTCTCTCCAACCACAATGGACAAACTCCCCCAGTTACCCTCATTGCCTGCATAACCATCTGCTCTCAGTACTGCAGGAGCCCGGGAAGCTTTGCTTCACCCCTTTAGTTCACTGGGCGATGTTTCCTTTCAATGTCTAGGGGACCATAGCAGTCAGTATTCTTCATTCCACCCAGACCACTAGTCATATGTCTTCATTTTTCTTTCTTTTTCCTTTTGTGCTATTTTTGTGCCTTTGTCCTTTACTGAGCTTGTGTGAAAATTCTGTTTCTCTTTTGTAAACCTCAAATCCATCATACTTATATTTTGTCCTCTGACATGTAGCAAACCACAGTGCCTTAGGTGTGCTCTTTAAAAATGTGGGTTCGACTTCTCCCCTCCCTTCCCTGCTTCCCTCCCTCCCTCCCTCTCTCTCTCTTTTTCCTTCCATATCTCCTTCCTTCCTTCTTTCCTCTCTCCTTTGCCTCTTCCTCGTTCTCTCAGCCCAGGATATCTGGCAGGCATCTTCTGGCAATGTCTCTCTACCCAAAACTTTTGCTTTTTGGCCCAGAACTCTTCTCAGAGGCCCACGTTCAGGCTCCTTGTAAAGTGTGTTTTGCAAAGCTATAGCTTTGCTGCCTATATTGCTGTCTCTGTGGGACTCATTCACTTCACTGTCTGAAGTTGGAAGAAACTGCCTTCCACACATAAAACAGAAGCAGATCCAGGACCTGAACCAAGATGCTCCAACACAGGATGTGGAAGTCCCAAGTTGTGTCAAAACTGCTTCGCCAAACATCCACCCCTAAAATGCATCTTCTAGCTATTTTGAAATATACATTATAATCAATTATAGTAACATATTCATAATTTTAGAATAAATCTATTTAATTTAAATATGTTATAGTTACCATGCTATAAAATACATAACCAGAACTTTTAATAATAAAAACAGACTTCAGTTTGAGAGTTAATTTTATTTTTTATATATATATATGTATATATACTTCAGATTCCCAGAAATAGGGATTGATTGCAAACTCAATTTCCTTATTTAAGAATATATGTATATGTGTATATGTATTTAATATATACATGCACTTAAATTACAAATAAACTCTGAGATGAGCTACTTCCCTTGATGATCAGGTGAAGCTTGACAAGAAGCCAAGAGGCAGCTCTTGGTGAAAGCACTGTGAATAAAGGCCCCTTTATTCATAACAGAAGCATTTTCACTCATTGTAATCTGCAGAATATATTGACATTCAACCCTGCCTGAAAATATTTCTTTTTGGAAATATTTGGAAAATATTTCCTTTTGGATTTGTCTCTTTAGTGTTTTGTTGTTGCTGCTGTTTAAAACAATATCACAAGGTAAAGCAGACTTTTAATAGTTATACTTTATGGATTTTTCTCCTTTACATACAAGGAAGAAATGTGGATGAAGGATTTGCGGATGTGATTTTGATAGCTTTATGTAATAAAACATTTTAAGAGACACTCTAGATATTCTAAAATGCAAAAAGAATAAGCCTTTATTGTTGCAAGCCCACTCTATAAAATTAAACATGGTATTTGTGGGAGAGATCCTGATTTTTTTTCCGTTACTATATTTTTTAAAAAGAATGTTGTTCTCTGATTCTCTCATCCTTTTTTCTCTATATTTGAGTTGTTC